CTCACGGAGCATATGCGGCTATTGAATGCTAGAGGGTCCTCTCCGATTCAGACTATGGCCGTGAATGTTTGCGGCGCATGCGGAGTTCAAAGACACAGTTCTGAGGTGTTCCCGTCGGCTTTCGAGCTGAATTATGGAGGGCATAACTGAGGTTAACGCATTGCAGGGGTATCAGAACTGACCTGGAAATGACTCCTACTTGAACATGTGTAACCCCGGGTGGCGAAACTACCCGAACTTCTCTTGGGCCAACAACAATAATGTTCAACAGCAGCCTCATCCCAACTTTGTCCCTCATCAGCAGCAGCAAAGGGGACAAATGTTAAGGTTGTCAGCGCCAGAACCCGGACCGAGCCCGTCGAACTCAGATGAGAAGCTAGATAAGATCCTCCAGTTTTTTTCCAACAATAAGAAACAGACCATGAACAATTAAGCCTCCATTAAGCGTCTCGAGATGCAAGTTGGACAATTGGCTACACGGGTTGGAGGTATCGAGACTGAATTGAGCAAAGGAAAATTGCCGAGTCAGCCGGAGAATGCGAATGCGGTGACCGTGATTATGCCCAAAGAAGTGAAAGAAGTAAAAGAGGGCCCGAAAGAGTAAGGGAGACTGGAAGAAGCCCCAGTGAAACCACTACCCGAACCTACCTTACACAAATCCCCAAATCCTTACAGATCGAAAATCCCCTTCCCGAGCCGGCTCTGGGAAGAGAAGGACCGCCGGATGATTCAAGACCTTCATGCAATGTTGGTTAAGGCCAACGATGATCTATTTCCTCCCGACGTGATGAAGAAGATACTAGCATATGCAAGATTTTTCAAGGAGGTAGCAGCGAATAAGCAGAGGATCGAAGGCAGTGAAGAGGTGCTCGTTTTCGAAACGGCAAGTGTATTCCAACACAACTTGCCGAAGAAGGAAAAAGACCCCGGGGGCTTTGTGATCACTTTAGACTTTGGGAATGGGGAAGAGACCTCGGGGATGTTTGATTTAGGAGCAGGCATAAACCTCATGCCACTTGCAGTTTATCACCGGCTCGGGCTTGGAGACTTGAAGCCCACCAGGATGCACCTACAGCTGGCTGATCGCTCGTTTCATCAACCAGCAGGGATTGTGGAGGATGTGCTCGTCTGAGTGGGAAAGTTGATAGTCCCGTGGACTTCATCGTACTCGATATGGGGAAAGGGCAAGAAAATGGGAAGCCGCACACCACCCTCCTTGGGTGACCCTTCATGGCTACCACCAGCACAGTTATTGATGTTAAGAAAGGGACTGCGAGCATGACTGTGTTGGGGGAATCCACCTTCATTTCCGCCCGAGAGTTGCAACCTGAGCCGAAAGTGAAGCTGGTGGAAGAGTGCGCTTACTTCAGGGCGATTGAACAACTCACTGAGGACACGTGTATGCGAGAACATGCGAAGAGATCATTGCAGGACCGTATCCATGTCCAGAGGGAGTGCCGTACCGACCACCACACTACCTCTCCCAAGCCGAGTTCTAAGGAGCTGCCTCAGTCCGAATGGGGCGAGAGATTTGAGTTGACATAGGCCCGCCGCTATTCGGGGCCTGACCACCTCCACCCTCCACCTGCACCACTGAATTCACAGTGACTCATCTAGTCACTGTGCCCTGTACGTTTGTATCTTTTCCTTCCTTTTTATTTTCGTTTTTGGATTAGTTTTTCTGTCTTTTGTGATTGGTTGATTATGTGGGAAAACTTTCCTAGAACTAATGATCGACAATGGGTTGTTCGGTTTTAAGTGTGGGGGAGTTTTACATGATTATGTGTCTATATGGTCGACCAGGTCTAGGTCTTTTAGGGTGTTTTTCATTTTCATATTTGGTTTAGTGTTTTCTTCTTGAGTCAGTTTGTGTGTTTTGCGAGTATGGATTATGGTGAAGTTTAAGATTTGTTGATGATTGTTGATGATGTTGAGGAGATGTGATGATGATCATGACTAGTATGCCTTGATGAACTTGATGTGTCATTTTGTTGGACATTTACTTACCTTATGTGAGGTTTGAGCCTTGGTTGTTTCTTGAGAGATATTGGTCGGTTCGGTGTTGATCAGAACTTGCTTTGAATCTATTTTGAAATGACGTAATTGAAGTAGTGATTTGTGAAGATGATTGAGGCATTTCTTTGACATTGCTCGTTTTAGCCTTTTCATTGACCCTTGAAGTAATATTTTCATTAGTAGCCCGTTGAGCCTTGAACCGTATTTCTTGTCAACCGATTCGATTGAATTATTTGAGATTTGACAGTGTACTTGTTATGATGACGGAGCTTTCTAATATGTGTTTGGAGAAGGTTTATAACTTGTTTGGGTTGCATATTAGTGCTTGACAAAAAAAAAAAGAAATAAAAAAGGGGGAACTCGCAAGACAAACGAAAAGGATTATACTCCGCTTAAAAGGGAGAGAATGTCGTCCTTACGTCTCGATCTTGTCAGGAAAAAAAAACCTCTAACTAATTTAAAAAAAATAAAAGAAGAAGAAACACAGTCGAGTACTTAAATTGCATTTCAGCTTGAGCATGTGTGAGTTGTATGGAGTTTATGGTGGGAGTGATTAGTTTCATGTTGATTACGGATAGGTGGTGAGATATTCGAGTATTTATGTGCTCGAGAGTGTGAATGTTTATTTTGAGCCATTTTATAATTATATTTGTCCTTCCCTTGATACCTACATTACATCCCGTGAAGTCCTCATGATTCGCAAATTCATGATCTTTGATTGTTTTGGAGTATGAATAGACAATAGGCAAGCTTATGTTGAAGCAGAATGATCGACCAATTTGAGCGAACCCATTTCATATTCATGCAAGAAACTGAGTGAGGCATATATGTATTATACTTCCATGCTTGAGAGTTTGTCTTTTCCAAGCATAGCATTCGAGTTTCAATTGAGGTGTGCTATATTGGTCATTGGAAGTCTCCTCGGCTAAGTTGATTAATTTGAGACTTGTCTTATTTGAAACTGTTATCCATGCTCCTTTGCTTGTTTTCTTTTCTATTCTTGTCTTTTTGTTCGGGACGAACAAAGGTTTTAGTGTGGGGGAGTTGTTTGTCCCATTTTGGTTGCTATTTTTGGTGGTGTTTTGCGTGTGTTTCTCCCTCGTTTTAGGTCGTTTCTTAGGTGTTACCGGTCCGTCTAGTCTTTTCTCGTGTTTTATCTTTATTTTGGTATGTTTAGTATTTTCTTTACTTTTCTCCCCATTTTTTTTGCTTTTCGTGTTTGTCCGGTTTTGGTGGTTTCAGCTCGTTCCGGTTCCCAAGTGTTTCATCCCAGTTCGTGCCACCAAACAACAAAGGATTGAGCTTCTAGCTCGGGAAAGACCCGAGAGATGCTAGCCGAGAGCTCACGAGCCCGAAAAAAAAAAAGAAAAAAAATATTAGAAGCTTTATTGGTGCAGAAACTAGCAGCGTTTGAAGCTTAGCGACACCCTAGCGGCGACAGAGCCTTTCCGGCTAAATTGTGGTTAGCGGCGCTAAGGGGTTAGTGCCGCTAAGGTCTGATTTTTAACAAGTCGCGTTTTTATGGGATTTTGAAATGGAAGGCTATTAGATCGAGCTAGGGCATATTTTTCAGCATTCTCAGACTTGGTACTTCATTTTTCTTCATCTCAAAACATATTTCTCTCATCTTTTCACTTGTTTTTGGTCTTGGAGAGTGAAAAACTCCCTTTATCTTTCAGATTTGGATTGCCTTCGGGATTTGACATTGGGTTTTACATTAATCGTAAGCTTTCTTTTTCATTTTTTTTTCTATGATGATGATGGCTTTGATTGATGTGTATTTCGTTGTTGAATCTATGATGAGTAGCTAAATTCGTTAACTAGGGCTAGGGGATAATTGTTCCGGTTCAATTTTGTTTGCGTTGATGTTAATTGCTCAATCTATACGAGTTGTGTTAAACCTAGGGTTGGATGATTGATCACCATCTTGATCTATTTAATCGATTTTAGAACTGAAAGGGAAGGAATCGATCGATCTAGGCCCGTTTAGAATAGACTTGTTCGGAAACGTATTGTCTATGTGCTAATTGATTTGATAATTGTTCGTTTATGTTTATTATCTTGTTACGTGAGTTATTGAGAATGAATCTCTGGATGAGTTAGTTTTTCGAGTCCTTTAGCCGAGTAGTTACCTGCTCGTTAAATGTATTGAGAACCGGAAACAATTGTCCCAGACACCCTAGTCCCTTTACAACTATTTGAATCGTGTTTGAAGTTGTGTGATCGAAATTGCCTTGTTTAAGAATCATTAGTAGTTAATTCGTAGTAGATAATCGAAACCAACTAATCGAATTAGAGTGTTTAGGATTATTTTCTTTTTTCTGTGACTGAATATTCGTACAATTTAATCCGACTGAAGAGATACGACCCGGTGTTCGAATCTTTCAATTTAACTCCGGTAAAATTTACTACAACACATACTCGATCAGAATCCGGCGCAGAAGAAGACGCCAAAGGAAGACAGAGATGGTCGGGGTAGTAAGGTCGGTCTAAATGGCCCTGAAGAGAATGTTAGGCCAGTCACCCATCCTTACTTCTTCTCAATTCAAGGTTGTAGAAAATACACCCAAAGATGTAAGTCTCCACTACATACAGATCGAACCGTCCTCCGAGATGGGAATCTGTTAGATCTTATCTAATAATAGGTCACTAAACACGCTCCAATATCCAACTCCCTCTCTAACCTATCCCTATCTCTAGTCGTATCGGTTCATAGGTCCTTCACCACAAGAAAGGGGAGTGAGTGACCTACCTAATGCTCGAAAAGGGCTCTTCACCAAACCAACGGAATTTATAGTTAGGATTAAGACAGACGGTTTAAAATTTTTGCCGAACTCTGAGACGTTTCTGATTTTTGCTATTGGAGATCATCTAAACCTTGGAGTTCGTTGGGGTGTCAGAATGGCCTCGGATATCCTAGACTGCTATCGGGCTGCACCGTAGCTGCTAGAGATGGTCTGAACTTGCCACGGGTCACTTGGTACATGGACGGCTCGCCTAGGGTCCACTGGTGGCCAGGTTGTCGAGACTTCACGGTGTCTGCACACTGGCGGCCCTGGTCACACGGTCTGTTGCTGCTCTCGTCGAGGCTCGCGTGGTCGGATGCTCTGGAGACCAAGGTCTCGCTGCACGGGGCTCTTGGGACACACGCAGGTTGCTGGAAACACGCGGATCTACTGCGGGGCACGCGAGTCATGATGCGGGTTGCGTTGGTAACTCGCGGATCTTTCTCTGGGTCGTGATGGGATGTCGTGTGTCGCACGAGAAAAAACCGAAGGGGAAGTTCCACAAGTGCAACAAGTCAGGACATTAGAAGGTCGAGTGCCCTCTCCTCAAGAAAGGCAAAGAAGGTAATGGTTATATCTACCAGTACCTGGTGTGTGGATACTGGAGCCACTGATCATGTCTGCAATTCTTTGCAGGGGTTCTAGGAAACCAGGTGAGTTAAGGAAGGAAAGATCACCGTCTACATGGACAATACCACCAAAGTGGCCGTTGTTGCAGTGAAAGCCGTTACATTATTATTTAGTAGTACTAGTTTGGTTTTGAGACATTGCCTTTATGTTCCAAGTTTTAAAAAGAATCTTATTTCAGTTTCTAGACTTTTTATGGATGGTTGGTCTGCTTCGCTTAATGACATGGTTATTATTCGTTATGGGAATCGTGTCATCTATTCTGGTTCATTAGTTTGAAATTTGTATGTTCTTAAACCAAACTATCCCACAGTGCAATAATCTGAATTGAATAATATATTGACTAAATCTAATAAGAGGAAGGAGTAATCGTAGATAAATCAAGCATATCTCTGGCACCTTAGACTTGGACACTTCAACTTTAGGTGGATTCAAAACTTGCTGTCTAGCGGACATCTCGATCCACTAGAAGATGATTATCCAACTTGCGAGTCGTGCCTGGGAGGTATGATGGCCAAGAGGCTGTTTTCGACAAAGGGCTAAGAGTGAGAGTGTGCCAGGATTGATTCATTCTGATTTGTGTGGTCCTATATCGATCCAAGCTAGAGGTAATTGCGAGTACTTTGTCACTTTTATTTATGATTACTAGAGATTTGGGTACATATACCTGTTGCACCGCAAGTCCAAATGCATTGAGAAATTCAAGGAGTATCGGCCAGTTGTGAAGAAGCTTCATGGTAAGAGTATCAAGTCACTTTGATCTAGGTGGCGAATACCTCTTTTCGGCTGGGATTGAATACAAATTGATTGCACCGGCACACCCCAGCAGAACGGGGTTGGAAAACAAAAAAATAGGACACTTATAGAGATGGTTAGGTCAACGATGAGTTATTCGAGGTTACCCGATTCGTTCTGGAGTATGGAGTTGGAAACATCATCGTATATTCTGAACATGGTTCCATCGAAGTCAGTAGAGACTACTCCTTATGAGTTATGGAAAGGGCGTATGCCCAATTTCTCACAATTTTGATTGTGGTACCTGCACACATTTTGGTGTAGGAGGCTAGCAAATTGGAAGACCGTTCAGAAGCATGGGTTTTTGTTGGCAATCCCAAGGGAACGAAAGGTGGATTATTTTATGGTCCCGAGGATCAAAAGGTGATCGTAAGAACAAACGCCAGATTCTTGGAAGAAGACTATATTATGAACCACAAGCCCCCGACTAGAATTGTCTTAGAGGAGTTGAGGAGTGAGGTCGAGAGTTCTTCACCGAGAGCGCAAGTAGATACATCACATAATACTACAACACGGCACACTGACCGTGTACCAGTGCAGACAGTACCTCGTCGTAGTGGGAGGGTTGTCATACAGCTTTATCGATATCCTTGGAGAGTCATCGAACTCAGTTCCAGGTGAGCTGGAATCGAACCCTAGGACATATGACGAGGCACTCCAAGATAAGGATGCAGTATCATGGAAAGTTGTGATGAAAGCTGAGATGAGGTCAATGGACTCCAATCAGGTCTGGGATATTGTAGAACCAGACAAGGAGGTACGACCCATTGGATGCAAGTGGGTCTACAAGAAAAGAGATGATTGGATGGAAAGGTTGAGGCCTTTAAGGCTAGGCTTGTTGCGAAAGGGTATACTCAAAAAGAGGGGATGGATTATGATGAAACCTTTTCACCAGTAGCCATGCTTAAGTCCATTCGGTTCTTTTGGCTGTAGCAACTCATATGGATTATGCGGTCTGGCAGATGGATGTCAAGACGGCTTTCCTTAACGGAAACCTTCAAGAGGACATCTACATGCAGCAACCAGAGGGTTTCATCGATAAGGGACATGAGCATCTATAGTGTGCAAGCTTAATCGGTCCATTGGTGTAGTCTTTGATAGTAGAACGTCAGCCTTATGGACTGAAGTAAGCTTCAAGATCTTGGTACATCCGATTCAATGAGGTGATCCATTCGTACGGGTTCACTCAATGTTCGGATGAGCACTGTGTGTACAAGAAGCGCAGTGGAAGCGTGGTTGTGTTTCTTGTGCTTTACATAGACGACATACTTCTTATGGGGAACAGTAAGAAGGAGTTATCTGACGTAAAGGTGTGGTTGTCTAAGCACTTTGATATGAAGGACTTGGGTGAAGCTGGACACATTCTCGGTATTAGGGTAATTTGGGACTGTAAGAAGAGAATGTTGTTCTTATCCCAGTCTACATACATAGATACTCTCTTGGGCAGATTCAGCGTGCAGGATTCCAAGAAAGGTTTGTTGCCTTTTAGACATGGAATAGCTCTATCCAATGAGATGTCTCCTAAGACACCTCATGAGATAGAGGACATAAAGACAGTTCCTTATGCTTCGGCAGTATGAAGTCTCATGTATGCTATGTTGTATACGAGGTAGGATATTAACTACGCTGTGGGCATGGTAGCTAGATATCAAAGTAATCTGGGACGGGAACATTGGACTGCGGTGAAACATATACTCAAGTACCTGCGAAGGACTGAGAAGTAAATGTTAGTTTACCGTGCAGACAGCTTGTTACCATTGGGTTACAGTGATTTCGATTTTCAGTCAGACAGGGATGAAAGTAAGTTAACCTCAGGTTATGTATTTATCTTAGGAGGTAGAGCCATTTCATGGAGGAGTGCTAAGCAGAAATGCGTAGCAGACTCCACTATGGAAGCCAAGTACACCGCGGCCTATGAGGCAGCGAAAGAGGCAGTTTGCCTCAGGAACTTCTTAGTGGACTTAAAGGTGATTTCGAATTTTCCACGAAGTATCACCGTGTACTGTGATAATAGTGGAGCAGTAGCAAACTCAAGGGAACCACCAGCCCACAGAGTAAGCAAGCACATAGAGTGCAAGTACCACCTGATACGAGATATCGTTGGAAGAGGAGACGTCGAGGTTGCCAAGATTGCATAAGAGGACATTTCACGAAGAGTTTGTCGGGAAAGGTCTTTGTCAAACACGTGGAAGTAATGAGAGTTAGATGTATGGGCGTAGGATCGACATAGGTCTTTTAGAATAATGGATTGATAGGACTATACTTGTAAAGCAAAAGTTCTAAGTATAATTGGGAGATTGTTGGTGTTAGACACTGAAAGCTTGGCTTTAGATGATATTGCACTTTATCTTTGTTGAATGAGAATCATGTTTGATTAAACAAGTTCCATGTTCTGTTATTTTGCAATTAGATAGAATGGTTCATTATCGGGTGAACAGAAGATCATTTTATCAGTTACTTGCGAAGCAAGAATTGTTGGTTCACAACCTAGATGGAAATGAACAAACCATCGGAACGGTTGTAGTGTCGACTGTACGATTGGTCTTGACTGATTAGTTGCACTAGTACATTTTATGTATTGAACAGGATCCGATAGAGTAATAATTTGTTTTATATTGATCGTCATAAACAAACTAAGTCTCGATTAATTACTGCGTGCTCTTAACCCATAAGATATAAACAGGCATGTACATATGGTAACTATTACTTTGATTAACTAAAGTGAGATTTAGTTTACTGAGTTGACATACTTGCTGTTTTGGGTAATATTAATATATGTACGATGAGCTGCTAGAATATTTGCAGTCACCATGTGCGACAATTTGATGATGTCCCCGTAGTGAGTACATGAAGGTTGTTATGATAAACCCTGCTGGTGGATTAAGTTCCGACATAATAATAATGTAATGAACGACGCTATCTTCGGTATTATAATATATTAATTAATTCTTGGTTATCAGTAAGTGAATTAATTAATGGACATTATATCTTAAACGTGGGGAGGTAAATCGAGTAATTACAATTGGAGTCTCAAATATAATTCTGAGGAGGATAAGGGAGTTCAATAATGTTTTCGTTAGTGGACCGAAACATTATTTAAGTATTGGCAAGAGTGGGTTTGGCTCACAGTTAGACCCAATACTTAAGAAGCCCTAATCCTCATAATCTTAGTATCCCTACTGTAGCTCTATATATACATCAGTAAGCTCATGGGATAGAGATGCAACAAGAAAACCTAACGTGTGAAACGTGTAGGCCGCCCCTCTCTCTTTTTCTCTCTCTAGTTCCCATAGTCGAGCTTTATCTTCGTCTTGTTGTTCCACCGGTACAATTCGAAGAGGTGTTTGAGATATACAGTTGAAGATCCCGAGGTACCGAGACCACATGATGGATATATATTATCAACCCCGGGAACCACCGTTGTTGTCCATCGTCGACAACGGCGAGCCGCCGCAGCCCATGACCGTCGACCACCGCAAGACGACGCAGCCCAGCTGCAGCCGATGCCGCAGGCCACTGTCCGCCAGCCGCAGCCCAGCAATGACCGCCGCTGCTCCCGGCAACCACGACGTAACCTGTGTGCTCGCACCCGATGAACTTCTTGAGGTTCGACGAGAAGAATCCGGCTACCAACGGATTTTGAGATCAAACAATTTCCTTCAACGGTAATCTACAACGTCTCTGAGTCTGCAAATTTTAAGCCATTAAGTATTCAACTCTAAATCTCTAGATCCGCTGCGCATAGGTTTATTTTTTTCATTGAATTCGTGACTTGTACATAACGAGATCCTCGCCGATCCCATCAATGATTATGAAGTTGTTCACATGAACAACTTGTGCTTGTGTAACTAACCTTAAGATGCTCCAGTTTCTGTGTAGTTTTCATATTGCAGGTTCTTAGCCAAGTGTTCTCGATTTATCTGCCAAATAGGGAGATTGCAAATTTCGAGGATTGGCAGTAAATCGATGAACCTTCATCAGGCCCCGAAACTGTGGTGATCGAAAACATAATGGAAGTATTATTGTTACATTATTTATTTCCTTAATATTAGTTAATTGAGATTAACTAATGAGGTTATTAATTATGCAAGATTAAGGAAAATATTTTTAGTACTCACTTACCAAACCAAGTGATTGAAGACGCGCTGTCAAACATCCCATATTTGAGCAGTCGATCAATCAGAAGGAACTTACCTTTTGGAGCGTAGCTTGGATCCGAAGGCAGTCTGGACTTACCATATATGAGCACGGTATAAAAGCATTGAGACGCGGATGAAAAAAGTAATTCTATTAATTACCTTTTATTGTTTTGAGAGTTATTCAGAGGTGTGAGAATCAATTTTCTGTGAATTGGATTTTATTTAATTGAGTGGTGAATCGAGAGGGTGTTCTCGATCACAAAGAGAGTTTATTTTGTTTTATTAAACTAAGTGTTCGAGAGGATCACTTGGATTAGTTTGAGGGATTCAAACTAGAAAATCCACAAGGGATTTGTGCTCGGAAAAATAATAGTATAGGTGATTATATCAGAGGTAGTGGAGAGGGGATCTACATAGTAAAACCTTTGAGTAATGGCTGTGACGTCTATACTAATGAAAGAGTTCCGGAGGGAGAGCGGGATGATGCTCTCCTAAAGGTTCATGTTTTGTAAAATATTGCTTCCGCAACTGTGTGAAAGTGCATCTATGTTTACTGCTTCATTTAGTGCAATCCTAGTACACTGGTTATATTCCCCCACAACTACAGTAATCATACCAGTAACATGCCAACCTCGAAAAATGTACCCATGAGTTTCATAGTATAATTACTCCACAATAATTGACGAAAAGGGACTGATGCTAATAATACCACAAAAAAGCACTCATGTTTAGACACCTGCGATTCTCTCAGACACCAAAAAGACTCCCAATTATAATCTTTTTGTAAACAAATAACAGTCCAAGCAGGTTCATATATAAACTATCCGAGGCAGTCCGACCTCGTTACGTCTAAACTCTTTGCCTTGCTTTATTCGCGTTATGATGTTTACAATCCACACATTAAGTGCATACCAAACTCTATCTAAAATATTATGTTAGGGGATTTTTTTAAACTATTTTTGCATAATTTGCATTACACGACTATAAGGCGACGATTGATCAAACTGCTCATCAAATCTGTGCATATTTGTCGTCTAACTGTCAAATAATTTATCGCATAATGTTGTCGGTATTACTCATACCCAGTTGTATTTGTCGCATATTTTATAGTATAATGTGTTTGCACTTGTTCATAATCGACGACTATTTGTCGCATAATTTATCACATAATATGTTTGCATTTATTGGGTGAAAAAATTAATTATCAGTGGCCGGTGTGAAAATTTTATTATTATCTTCATTGTATTAACTGGATTATTATTATTATTATTATTATTATTATTATTATTATTATTATTATTATTATTATTATTATTATTATTATTTGCACCACATGAATGACAATGTTATAGAACAAAAATATATTTATTAAAATATAATATATTTTTTAAAAAATTAATTTTATTATAATCATAAATAAAAAAATGGCATTAATATAAATATTAATTTTTTTTATATAAAATAGTCATAAATGATAATATAGAATGATATTGTCATTCCATTCAGGTTTAACTCTTTCTACATATCAAACATATCAACAAAAAAACCGGTTCCATTCCATTCTCATAATCATTTCATTATTCAAATCATTCCATTCCTATCAAATTTCATTCCACAATAAGTTTACGTATCAACACGACACACCAGCAAATCAAACAAGCCTAACTTTTCACTTTGCAGATGCACAAACAGACCAAATCACGAAACATTGAAATTAAATTCAGGCCGTAACTGGAAACAAATTCGGGAAAAGTTCAATTTCAGACCATTTTTGTTCCTCCGCCAGCGACACAACTTCCACTCCTGAGAACACCGGCCGGCAGCCCGGCAACGTGTTTTCCCCCGAAATCGCACGGCGTCTCCTCATCAATCCTACCAATCGCCACCGTGCGGCTGCGCTTCATCGCCGCCGCTCCTCGGCCGCCGGCAGGCAACGTCCCGTTGCGGCTGCCGGCAGATGCAATCCGGATGAGCTCCTTCATATCCTGGTCGCCGCATCTGTAATTAGAATCGTGGGTGGAATTGGTGCTGAAACTTCTGGGCAGGTTCGCCGAGTGGAGGGTGGCGCCGGCGTAGGCTACTTGGCTGGCGCACCCAGTGAAGCTGTGGAGGTAAAATTCTCGGACTCGGGCCAGCATTCGGATGGGCCCTTTTATGAACCTGACGAATTTACTCTGTTTACGAACAGACGCACTACTGCTTTTGGTGTTCATTTGTGCCAAACATTGATTGCGGGTTACATTGGTTAACGTTTTAAATGCATAGTGGCCCGGCAGCACACGGTATGTCTAAATTAATCAATCACTATAAGTTTAACTTATTTTTAATCTAATATTTATACCATCTAGTACGGTGGTGTTCCGTGCAATGCATGAGACAATAATATTACGATTGTATTATAAATTTAAATATATAAGTAATATTAGTTATGATTTATCCATAATTTTCAAAACTGTACGACCGAATTTACCAAAAATTGGTTTATCGACCACTCTGATTCACATTAATAAAATGTTTGCTAGTGAACCGGTCAGCACCTGTCGCTCGGACTTGTAGTATTAGTCAATAAATATATGTTACATATAACATTATTTTTAATATAAACAAATACATATTTAAATAAAATAGAGATTTATAAATTATTTATCAGTTAGTTTAAACTTTGAAATTTTTAAATTATTAAGATAATAATTAATATTTTTATATAAATTATTCCAAAAGTACTATATATGTATATATTAAAGTATTACTAAATTAAATTCTGGTACATCCAGTAAATTATTGAATAAATAACTTGATCGGTTTGAAAACGATCCTTTTCTAAGAACCTTGGATTTATCGTACATTAATAAGTTGCCATGCAATAGCATTTTTTTTCCTCAAAACGATAGATAATATTATAAATCAAAATGCACAAAGGTGCGAATACACAGCAGCCAACGACTAAATACACATCAGCCAACAGTTGAAAAAGTGGGAGGACACGCCAGAAGACCGCCTAGAATCCCGACTAGCAACGCTAGAATAAAACCACTCGCAACTAACTAATCAACCACACAACTGCAAAACACAAACTAAACTAAAGCAACTAAAAAGACCCCAACAGGGTAATACCCGAGTGTCGAGTCCCAAGGGGATAATAAGGTGACACTCGGGCTCATAGAGGCCAAACGGCCATACCAAAAACACAATAAACAACACAAAACATAGAAACACAGACCAACAAAAAACAAAAAACGAAAACAAGAAAGAGGACACAGCCTCCCCCGCTAAAATACATATAGATTTACGGCAGACAAACCAACTCCACATACAGCTCCAAAGCACGGAAATAACTGCCCGCCACTGCAGAAGGCCTAGCAAGACGGAACCCGCACCCCAGAACCAACCGAAGAGCTGCCCCGCACTCCAATCACGAGAAGCAGCAATCACGCCTCAACCCAGCCCGAAACGGCTGAACACAGCCAAGCAACCGAGCACTAACCGAAAACAACGATCTGACCCCAGCAGTGACTACGACCACCAACCGTGGACCCCTAAATCCCACTCGCCAAGAAGTCCACCGATCACGAACAAAATAGAAAACTGAGACAAAAGCAGCAAAATCGAGGGCATACCTCCAATTGACACAGCCTAGTATCGAAACCAGAGGAGGCCACCGCCAATCGCCGCTTCGCCGGCGAAAAGGCGCAGTCCCGACCGACAACGAGAAGCGCGAAAAGGGGGGAAGCAGTGTCCCAGCGGCCCAGTCCAAACCGAGTGCAGCTAGCCCAACCTCGTCCATGGACCAGCACCACATCCCGCCCCTCGCCTTCTGATGCTGAACTCCAGCGAGCCACAAGGAAGGAGAACTTGCGCCGTTGGCCGAAACACGGAGTCAAAAGAGGAACAACAAAAGGGGAGAAGGCTGCACCTCCATGGACGAGCGATGGAGGCCGTCCACCGATGGACCCAGACGACCGGGGAGGGAGATCTACGGGCGCAATTTAGAGATAAAGAGCAACTAGGGTTCGGGGAGACGAAAGGGGATGAATTAATTCAATAGCATTTTGTTCACATAAATATTAATAAAAAAAATATAAATATTTGTAAATCTTTGAACATGTTGTCATAAAAGCATTTAATATGATTATTTGGAGTATATATTACATTACATTTATTATAATAAAGTATTTTAAATATTAAAAATTATATTTTGTTCAATAATCGATTTGGTTTGGCTAAATTGTCCCATGACTTGGTCACTCGGGATTAACCTAGTTGTGTCGTGTTTTTGGACTAGTTTAAATATCAACTAAAAGTAATCCAATCAACCTGAGCATCGACCTAATCCAATCACCCGATTGGTCCAATGAAATTTCTTTATTTTCCTTAAATATATTTAACTTTATGAATTAAATAATATTTTATTATTCATGCAGTAAATGTTTATAACAAATGACAATATATTAAAGATTATAAATTATATATCTAAAGATAAGTTAATTATTACTTATTTTATGAATATTTATAAAAAAATAATCATATTAGTTTTTAAATATTAAAATTAATCGACTGATTATGCAGTTGTCGCAACAATGAGTTACAACATGAGTTACCACATAGCAGAGATATTTTGCATATTAACTAGTATGTTTTTAAACATAATATTTTTATCGCTTATATAAGCTTATATCACAAGTTTCATTGTGAAAAATTAGCAGTTACCATTACTTAACTCTTAATTAATTTATATTCTACCATTAATTTATTTTTTCTAATGACAAAGGATAAACACAACCTTTTTAAATATCATGATGATTTTTTATATAATTAAGATACTGCAAATATTCGATCTGAGATATTAATGTAAACGACTAATTTTAAATTTTCAGATTTATTGTGAAAAGAGTAGTACCAAAAATTTGTGTCCTAGACTTTTAAATATATTTGCATTTTTTAGCAAATTTATTGATACGTAAATGTTTTCAAAAAAATGTGACACATAAATTGTTAAAAAAAAAGTGTACAATATTTTGACCTACAATTTTGATAATTAAAGTGCACCATAAGAAGCTAAAAAAGTAGGACAATAGTTAGGCATACAATTTTAAAAACTAAATTTCATGAAAAGGGATAAAAAGTTGATTTTAAATTTTATTCCAAAAAAATTATTTAAAATGAACCAAGATTTGTATCCAATAGTTTAGTTGTAAAAAATATTGTGAATACGTATGAATATTTTTGGTTTGAGTATCCAATAATTTAGTTATATCAAGATTTGTATCCATTTTAAAAAACACGGTTTTGAAAAAAAATTGTTAAGAATTATATAACTCTTTGCACGGTAAGTATCTCACATTTTGTTACAAATAAAAATTGGGAGTATTATAGCATTCATATTTTCTAAATAAATTAAAATTAGTTTAACTTCTAAAAAATTGGGAAAGGAAATCCGGCCTATCTCTAATCTTGTTATAAAAAAATGGGATTTCCATGGCATTCATATTTTTTAAATGAATTGAAATCAGTTTTGTTTCCTAAAAAATTGTAAAGGGAAATCCGACCAATAAAAATTTTTGTTACAAAAAAATATGGGATTCAGATTTTGGTAAAAAAATAAAAATGATAAGAAGAAGTTTTACGGATTCTTAAATTAAATTTATTTAGATTTGATTTCATAAATAACTGACATATTTTTAGCATAAGAATCTCCAAATTTGTTACAAAAAAAGAGGATTCAGATGGGTTTCATATTTAAGAAAATCCGATCAATTTGTATTTGTTTCCTAAATGGTGGGAAAGAAAATCCGGCGATATCTCAAATTTTGTTACCAAAAGAATGGGAATCCTATGTCATTCATATATTTGAAAAATGAATTGAAATTGGTTTTGTTCCCTAAAAATTTAGAAAGGAAAATCTGGCCAATCCCGAATTTTCGTTACACAAAAAAAAAACGGGATACAGATTTTGGTAAAATAATATGAAGAAATTGAACGGATTTTAAATTAATTTGTATTTGAATTTGATTTCATAAATAATTGGCACATTTTTTCCATAAGAATTTCCAAATTGGTTACAAAAAAAATAAAATAAAAATGGGATTCCAGTTGGTTTTATATTTAAGAAAATTCGGTCAATTTGTATTTGTTTCCTAAATATTTGGAAAGAAAATTTGGCCAAATTGTATAAGAAAATAATTAAATTTGATTCTTAAAGATTCACATGTGTTTTTTCGAAATTATCACTAATAAATAGTCGAACCTTTAGTGTTCTTTTTTTCTTTTTTTGTCAAACTTATTATAAAGGTATTTTTCCAACAATATTTTTATATTAGTATAGATCATGGCCTAGGCAGGGTTGGGCTCACCCTTGCTCTAGCTAAATCTTAATTTTTTTATTTATTTAATAATGTAGTAGTAAAATTATTTTAATTCATATTTGATTAATTTAATTAATGATAAAATTATTCTCTCCATATTATTTTAAATTTAATTTATATTAAACCAGCTAATTATATATATTTTCGACATGATTCAGATCCTTTCATATGTATTTTTTTTTTTTTAAGCTTAATTTGACATTTTTCTTCTTTATTTTCTTTTTTTTTTCAGAACGATAGAGGTAATTTTATAAAACGCACAAAGTGCGAAAAGAAAACCAGCCAAAGGCTGAATGATACAATCAACGACCGAATAAACTGGGAGGCAGACCCGAAGATTGCCTAGAGCCGGACCTAGCAACGCTAGAAAACACAAACACAATACTACAAAACAAAAACTATTGAAGGATCCCAAAAGGATAATGCCCAAGTGAGAATCGATCCCAAAAGGATAATACCGCACTAACTCGGGTGAAAACAGAGACTGAAGCCCAAACCAAAAACACAGACCTACAAAAAAACATGACCAAACCAAACAAACTAAACAAACAGACACATCTAACCTAAAAACAGAAGAAACATAACAAATGCAAAATAAAAATAGAGCCCTTCCCACAGCAAATAACCAATCCCAGCACAAAGCACCAGCAGAATCAAAGACATTCATCCCCCGAGATTGAACCGCAGTCCAGGGATCTGCTCTCGAAACTGTCAAAACGCCTAGCTGAAGCCGAAATTCGAGACCTCAGACAACTCAAGGAAATGAAATTGACCCACAGCCGGAGTAGCAACGACCTGCCCGCCCACACACCAGTATGCCCGAAATCCGGCCAACACCACTGGCCTAGATCCGGGCGTGTCAGACATCCAACTCCACAACACCAGCA